AGCACACATGAGTGCGTTTCTAGCTTTGGAGTTTAACATAAATCTTCGTTTTTGATTTTCATTCCAATGTCCCTTGGGTATCTCCCTGCCAGCATCATCATCTGGAATGTAGTCTCCCTGTTCTACTACCTCCCACATTTCTATATGACAAGCATCAAAGAATGCGATCATTCTTTGTCTCCAATAGTCGTAGTTGGTTCCTTTGAAGAGAGGTGGACAATTTACTACCTTTCCTTCGTTTTCCATGATCGTTCCCCTGTAGTGTTAGATGTTCAAACCTTGGGGTCAAGCTCTAATACCAACTGAAGTTTAATGAAAACACATAGAAGGGGGGTTGAATGTGTGTGAACGAAGGATTTTAAAACCGTTTTCACAAATGTGCTTCTTTTTATCTGAAATTAAGGTTATAAATGCTTTGACAAAAATGCAGAATTGGTTAACAGAAGCCTTGCGTCTAAAGATCTATCTTCTGCTCAAGAATGGTTTCTTGAACTCAACAAATATAACTTTGTTTATATATTATTTAAAAATTAAGTATTAATAAACAAATTTTGATAGATCAGTATAAGAAAAAACTATGTTTTTAACATAGATAATAATGCACAGAGTTTTTATACTGGTTCACTTATTCTGAGCTATGTCTAGTCTCCTTCAACTGAAGGATTCCACTATTCACAATGGATTACAAGTATTCTTAACCACTTCTAGTTCGTCAACTTCACTCGCTGACGTTAGTATTCTTAAACCACTTCTGGTTACCCAAGTATTCTCAACCACTCCTGGTTCGTCAACTTCACTTGTTGACGCTATTATTCTTAAACCACTTCTGGTTACCCAAGTATTCCTTCGCTAGCCTCTTCAGGCTTTACAGACGATAATTGTTTTGAGTGTGTTTGTAACTCTCATAGAGAGAATGAAATAGTTTCGACACTCACTAAGGTTTTCAACCCTAGTTTTACAAGAATGTGTTTAGATTGTGTATGTACCTCTCACAAAGAGGATAAAATGATTTCTACACTTACTAAGATAGGCTATCTTAGTTTACACTAATATTCAACTTTTTTACAAGAAGAGAAGTAAGGTTGTTTTGACGCTTGTTTTGCCCTTTTTTTTGCTTGTTGCTGCTCTCTTCACTTATTTTCTTCTCAGGTCTTGATATTTATAGCCTTGTGATAGATTTGCCCGTTATTTGAATTTGAATGTGTTCACTGAAGCGGTGCTTTCGGTTGGTGCAGATAAGCGTTCGTTCATAGCTACACAGATCTTCTTCATTTAATGCATTTGATTTTGCATTAAATGCTTTGCTTGTTTAATCTGTGTCACGTGAAGTCCTTTGCATAATTTGTCTCCTTTTATTTCTGACTTCAATCATGACCTAGGTATATTTGTTCTTTTTCCGTCATTGTAGCTACGGAGGCATTGCCTTTCTCTGAAAAGTAGGTGTACTTGCCCTGACACACACATCTTTGACTTGTGAATTCACGCTCTTGTATTTTTCTTCTTTCTTTTTATATCTTTGATAACTCCGTGCGCTTTTCTTATAACCTAAGATGATGTATGATTTTCCTCGTTGTGACTAGCGGATTCTAGATGCTTTTCATCATGCTTTGTTTGCGTCTGGGAGAATGTGTTTCCATCTAAGATTTACTTTTTCATTTCGTCTGATTAGTCATAAGGATGAACAAATCTTATTCCGTCTGGAACGCTTCTTCCTCTTGGATTATCCAATGACTGATGTTTGTTTTGTTGACTTGAGTATGAATGATTGACCCTTTAGCTTCGTTTGATGTTTATTTGTTGCTTGAGCCAAATTTGTCTTGGTCTTGCTTTGCTCTTGTTTTTTATTTATACTACGCTCTGGATTATTCCTGGCGTATCTTTGTTTGGTATGTATTACCGTCTGATATTGATCCTTCTTTTGCTCGACTCTGCTTCATGCGTTAGTTTTGCCTATTCTATATCTGAAACACTACTTCACAGATTAGTAATAACATTATGTATTATATTTGTCATATTCAAAACCTTGCTAGGAATTGCTTCTCTAACTTAACAAGGGAGACTTGTGGAAGCATTCAAATTTGGTGGAACTTGGTTAGGATTCTACAAAAATATATCAAACGCCATCCTAAACATTTGGAGCTGCTGCAACAATAATTCTGGAGTGCGAATCAAACTTGACGATATTGGTCCAGCAAGGAACATTTGAAAATTTTTGTAAAAATCTGGAAAATAGAGTTTAGAGATAGAATTAGAGACGGAAATTTTCCATTGCAAAATTTTGTAGCTATGTCCATCGCTAAATCCGTCTCTAACTTGGTGGCTAATTTTTCTTCTTTTCAAAGCCACCTTTGATTCAAATTTGCGTTATTTCTAATTCTTTGACTGTAATTGAACATTGGGAGTGTCTTGGAAGTGTCTTAGGTACACAACCATCTCTCCCTAGTGGCTTATAGCTCGCGTTAGACTTGGTGAAAGTGGTCCTTGAAGGTATTTGGTACCTATCAAGCTTTGACCTTAGGAAATCGTCTAGTTAGCTTTTGAATTCAGCAATTTACATCTTTATTTGTTCAATTGTCCATTTAGATAGTTCCACAAGGCACAAGAAAACAAAAAAATTTCTTAAATAAATTGTTTTGGTAAGGATTAACTATAAAGGAGATTAGTAATTTTTACCCAAAGAGGCTTGGTTATTAAGTGGCTCTTTGTAGCTCACCTCCCTCCAAGGTTCAATTTGTATACTTAGTCCTCCAAGTAATTAGTCCAAACCATTTCCTTTCAAAAATATTTTCTTAAAGAAATTTTTTTTGCCTATAATGAAAGATCTCTCCTCACCAAAGTGATAGTGATGCAAGAGCTTACAAAGATTTTTTCAAAAGTAGCATATGAATTAAAATCAATAAAACATTGGAGAGAGTAAGAAGCCAAAGAAATGATCAAAGAAAGAATCTAAAGAGAGGCTCAACTTTCAAACTTAGAGGAAAAAAATTTAAACATGAAGCATCGAAGTAGAAGTGGTAGTTCCCAATCCCATAGTTCAGCATTAGGGGGTTCCTTTGCAAGAAGAAAGCCTAGCATTAGGTGATCATTACCAAACCCCTCCTAGAAGGTCTCATAGGGCACCCAAAGTTAGGAAATCCAAGGTGGATCTCCCTTATTTCCATGCAAAAGATGATGTTGAAGGGTACCTTGATTGGGAAATGAAGGTTGAACAAATCTTTGCTTGCCATCAAGTAAGTGAAAAGAGAAAGATATCTCTCGCAAATTTGAGTTTTCAAAGCCATGCCATGTATTGGTGGATGTCCCTTGTTAGGGATAAGCGTCTCCATAATGATCCTCCAATTCAATATTAGAATGAATTGAGGAGTGCATTAAGGAGGAGACACATACCCTCATGCTATACTAGGGAACTTATGAACAAGCTTCAAAGGCTCCAACAAAGACACATAAGTGTTGAAGAGTATACGCAAATCATGGAGCTATATATGATAAGGGCGGGGATTAGGGAAAAAGAAAACCTTACTATTTCTAGGTTCTTGAGTGGTCTCAACTTGGAAATAAGAAATAAAGTGAAGCTTTTACCATATAGATACTCATAAGATGTGATACGAATTTTAAGAGCATATATATATATATATATATATATATAT